AAAAGCCAACACCCATTCATGATAAAAACTCTCAACAAAATAGGAATAGAAGGGAAATTCCTCAGTATAATTAAGGGCATTTATACAAAGCCAACAGCCGACATCATTCTAAATGGAGAGATTTTGAAAGCATTCCACCTGAGAATGGGAAACAGACAAGGATGCCCTTTATCACCACTGTTATTCAACATTGTGCTGGAGGTCCTAGCCAGAGCAAATAGGCTAGAAAAAGAAACAAAGGGCATCCAGATTGGTAATGAAGAAGTTAAAGTATCTCTATTTGCAGATGATATGATCTTACATGTAGAAAACCACAAAGAATCCACAAGAAAACTACTGGAACTAATAGAAGATTTCCACAAAGTTTCAGGATACAAGATAAACATACAAAAACCAGTTGGATTCCTTTACATCAGCAAAGAGAACCTCGAAGAGGAAATCACCAAATCAATATCATTTACAATAGACCCCAAGAAGATAAAATACTTAGGAATAAATCTAACCAGAGACGTAAAAGACCTATACAATGGAAACTACAAAACACTACTGCAGGAAACCAAGAGACCTGCATAAGTGGAAAAACATACCTTGCTCATGGATAGGAAGACTCAACATTAATGTCAATTCTACCCAAAGCGGTCTACAGATACAATGCAATCCCCATCCAAATTCCACTGGCAATTTTTAATGAGATGGAGAAAGAAATCACCAATTTCATATGGAAAGGGAAGAGGCCCTGAATAAGGAAAGCATTACTCAAAAAGACGAACAAAGCGGGGGGCCTCACACTGATTTTAGAAGTATTATACTTCCACGGTAGTCAAAACAGCGTGCTACTGGTACAACAGCAGATACATAGACCAATGGAACAGAATTGAGAATCCAGACATAAATTCATCCACCTATGAGCAGCTGATACTTGACAAAGTCCCCAAGTCCATTAATTGGGGAAAAGACAGTCTCTTTAACAAATGGTCCTGGCATAACTGGATATACATCTGCAAAAAACTGAAACAAGACCCATACCTCACACCATGCACAAAAAATAATTCAAAATGGATCAAAGACTTAAATATAAAATCAAAAACAATAAAGATCATGGAAGAAAACTTAGGGACAATGCTAGGAGCCCTAATACATGGCAAAAACACAATACGAACCATAAGTAACAATGCACAAGCACCAGAAGAGAGACTAGATAACTGGGAGCTCCTAAAAATCAAGTCAAAAGACTTCACCAAAAGTGTAAAAAGACAGTCTACAGACTGGGAAAAAATTTTGGCTGCAACAAATCCAATCAGCATCTAATCTCTAAAATCTACAAGATACTGCAAAACCTCAACAACAAAAAGAGAAATAACCCAATTAAAAAATGGGCAAAGGATATGAACAGGAACTTCGCCAAAGAAGATATTCAGGCAGCTAACACACACATTAAGGAATGCTCACGATCATTAGCCATTAGAGAAATGCAGATCGAAACTGTGATGAGATATCTTCTCACCTCAAAAACGCTAGTAAATGCTGGAGAGGTTGTGGAGAGACTGGAACACTTATACACTGTTGGTGGGAATGTAAAATGGTACAACCACGTTGGAAATTGATTTGGTGCTTCCTTAAAAAGCTAGAAATAGAAGTACCATACGATCCAGCTATCCCACTCCTTGGAATATATCCTACAGAAATAAGAGCTGTCACAAGAATAGAGACATGCAGACCCATGTTCATTGCAGCACTGTTCACAATAGCAGAAAGATGGAAACAACCTAGGTGCCCATCAGTGGTCAAATGGACAAACAAATTATGGTATATCCACAAAATGGAATACTATGCAATGATAAAGAACAATGATGAAGCCATGAAACATAACATGGAGGAATCTGGAGGTCATTATGCTGAGTGAATTTAGTCAGTCACAAAAGGACATTGTATAAGACCACTATTATAAGAACTCAAGAAAAGGTTTAAACACAGAAGAAAACATTCTTTGATGGTTACGAGGGTGGGGAGGGAGGGTGAGGGTTATTTACTAACTAGATAGTAGATAAGAATTACCTTAGGTGAAGGGAAGGACAGCACACACTACAGGGGAAGTCAGCACAACTGGACTAAACCAAAGCTAAGAAGTTTCCTGAATACAATCGAACACTTTGAGAGACAGAGAAGCCCATGCTTTCAGGGGACATCTAGGTCAATTGGCATAACGAAGCTTATTAAGAAAATGTTCTGCATCCTACTTTGGTGAATGGTGTCTGGGGTCTTAAACGCTTGCAAGCGGCCATCTAAGATGCAACAATTGGTCCCAACCACCTGCAGTAAAGGAGAAGGAAGAACAACAAAGACATAAGGAAAGTATTAGCCCATAAGACAGAAAGGGCCACATACACCAGAGACTTCATCAGCCTGAGACCAGAGGAACTAGATGGTGCCTGACTACTACCAATGACTGCCCTGACAGGGAACACAACAGAGAGTCCTGGATGGAGCAGGAGAAAGGTGGAGTGCAGAACTCAAATTCTAGTTAAGAAGACCAGACTTAATGGTCTAACTGAGACTGGAGGAACCCTGGAAAGCATGGCCCCTGGATTCTCTATCAGCCCAGAACTAAACCAATTTCTGAGGCCAACTCTTCAGACAGGGATTGGACTGGACTGTAGGACATAAAGTGATACTCTTGAGGAGTTTATCTCTTAGTTTAAGTAGATACAAGAGACTAAACAAGCAGCTTCTGTCCAGAGGTGAGACGGGAAGGCAGAGAGGGTTAGGAGCTGGTTGAATGGACATGGGGAATCAGGGACGGAAAGGAGGAGTGTGCTGTCACAGTGTGGGGAGAGCAGTTAGGGTCACATAACATGTATGTATAAATTTTTGTATGGCAGACTAACATGAAATGTAAATTTCATAAACTACAACAATAAAAAAAAAAAGAATTATTTATTCCTTTTCATTGTGCCGACCCCAAAGCTGCCTGTAGCCGCAGGAATAGTGTGTGTCCCCATGTAGAAGTATTGCTTTTAGAAATACTTGTGGTGTTTCTCACCAGAATAAAATATCTTCTCATCTAAGGCTCTTCCTCTTCAGATGACTTCATTTTAAGGGATACTGTATCACAGACGGAATTCCTGGTGGTGCAAAAGGTTAACATGTTTGGCTGCTAACCAACAGGTTAGAGGTTTGAGTCCACCTAGAGGCACCTCAGAAGAAAAGTCTGACAATCGACTTCCAAAAAATCAGCCACGGAAACCCTATGGAGTACAGTTATATTCTGACACACATGGGGTCACAATGAGTCAGTTATCTCTATGGTAACTGTTTTTTGGGGGGCGTTGGGGGGGCAGTATCACCAAGATAAAGAGTGCAGACTCTGAAGTCAGAATGGTTTTAACTGTCTGATCTTGGGCAAAGAGTTCACCTGTGCCTCAGTTTCCCCATCTAAAAAAATGGGTTTGGTAATCATGCCTACATTTTAGTGTTATTGTGATTAAATGTGGTTTAAATAAGTCAGTACAAATAAAGTGCTTAAAACAGTGCCCGGTACATAGGGAGTGTTAGATAAATACTATTGTGTGTCCATGCTCTAATTTATTTTCTATACTCATTCAATGTAAATATTTACGATGAGGCACCACCAGGCACTATTCTAGATGTTAGGAATACAGTAACGACAAAACAGACAAAAATCCCTGCCCTATTGGAACTTACATTATTGTGAGAGAGGCATGTATCACAATAAATGCTTGCAAAACACTTTGTGTTAAGATTAACATAAATAAGGAGAAGAAAATAATTAGAGAAGGGGCTATAAAATTAGAGGAGGGATAGAATTATAAACTAGAGGGCCAGGAAAGGCTGCCATGAGAAGGTCACTGCTCTTTGTAAGTGTGTGTTCAATTGATTATCTAGAAACAAACTCCTAGCGGCCACTTGCTTCATCATCACAGTTGTTGAAAACTGGAGTAAAATCTGGCCACAAAATACAGATATTAGTATTTCACATTCAGCAAATTCTTTAACAATTAAAGGGAAAAAAAAATCTCTCAGAAGATTTGAGGAATCACAGTTTTCACTAATAGCTTATAGGTGTGACATAATTTAACATATACTTAGAATCTGGACAAGGTGTCAGAACTCAAGCGCCCATGAGCCTAGAAACATACCAAGTGAGTGAGGCATGTTGGGGTGGGGATGCCGGTGCCCACCTTGTAAGGCTCGTCGTCTCTAAAGGGATGGGGTTCCTCAGCCCCAGCTGATTTTGCCTAAAAGAGTGAAAGCCCACCTTGTTTCATCTTTCATTTTGTGTGTATGATATCTCTCATTAAAAAAAAAAGTTAACAGGTTTACTATTGTTTTTAGACACTGCAAATTAAACATAGCTTGTCTGTGGTTTACGTTTGACTCGCAGGCCACCAATTTGCCTACTGAGCTCGTGGCAAAGAATTGCATATTTTCTTTGGAATAGCATCCCCTGTCTCGGCAATGAATGGTAGAAAATTTCTGAAACTTTTTATTTATGGTTCTCAAAGTATTTTTTTCCTTTTCCTTTGCTCTTTCCCAGCCGAGTTTGTAGCATGTTCTGTGCTCTCTTGCCTCAGGAAAGATTCGTGACAGGGCCAAAATTAGAGATTACTGGAAGACACTGGGATATGGAGCAAGAAGAGGACAAGTCCCCCCTTCCACCCTGAAGAGGAATGTCACCGTGGGACACACAGAAAGGAGAATATTGTCTTTATGAGAGAGTTTCTTTCTTATGAACTGGGAGAAGGGACAGAAGCTATTGGATCAACCAGTCAGACAGGAACACTTAGCACTCTGTTACAGTACCCTGAGATGGTGTCCAGACCACAGCAGCACGGCCAGATATCACCTTAGACACTAGGATTCCCAAACTCAGCCCTGATTCCCAGTTTTCTGGAAGCCCCGCAGAGAGCTGCTAGATAAGAGGGTCCAGTGCTGTGTTTAAATAATGAAAATATCAGTGGTTATATTACAATGTCAGTATGGAAAGAATAGGATTTTTCTTATTTTTCTAGAGAACACTCTAGCATATCTAAATATAGTAAGGTTCCAAGAAGAGGATGGGGAATCTTATGATGGATAAAACTGGAATTATCAGCTATCCTGATTAAACAAGGGTTTGGATGCAGAATACAAATCAGATTCAGATATAAAGATCATAAAATAAATTAATGATGAACTAAATAAGTAGTGTTTCATATGATAAATGATGACTTGAAATTTGAATCTAAGCCCATACCAGATTTCTGGAATTTGATTTCCTGCTGACAATTCTGATTTGTCATAATAGTGTGGGTATAAGGAGATGCGGTGACGTAAGAGGCAGAAGGTCCCCACATATGCGTTCTACCTTGCCATTTACAACACCTTGAAGAGATCCAGTTTCCTTACTCATTTCTCTCTCTCTCTTCTTGAGTATAGACATTCTAGAATAGATTTAATAAATGCATTTTAGTAGGAACACTAATCAAGTATAAGATGCCATTTTTTTCTTCTCTATACATCTTTGACTTCACTGAGTGAAATCGTCCTTGATTACAGTGCGCTTATTAGCTGTCAGATGTTGAATTAGCTGCCAGTGCAGTTAGTTAGCCTGTCTAAGCCTCAGTTTCCTCATCTGTACCATTACCTCATCTGTATCATTCCTACTACCTAGGCCAGTTGCGACAATTGAATCATATAATGTGTATAAAATCATTCCTTGGCAATAAATGAAAGTAATTTATATTATATTAGCAATTAGTCATGAAGAAAAGTATCCAGGTACCTTACGTTTCTTTGTAATGTGCTTGTAAATTCTTCACATTCCTTATCTCATTGACATTTCAAAATGCCTCTCTATCTTATACAAACCAAAATGTATCTCCACCTTTTGAATAGAAAGACTAAGCATCAGTGGTTCTGAGGCTTGCCAGGCACAGGTGTCTCCTTACTCAAGACTGTTCTCCCCGTGATATGCTGCTTGCTCTTCATCCCAGCACTGTGCTAGCAAATACGGAGAACACTGGCAGATAAGATAGGACTAAGACCCCACTCTTAAGGAATTTAAAATAATTTGGGGTCAATAAAGCATATGTATGACACTACAGGATAACTTAGAGTAAAAGTGCTATAGGATGTCAGAACAGTGAGAATTAAGTATGATCTGGAACAGGCAGAAAAATTTCACAATGGTGGCAGGACATGCTTAAAGGACCAACACGGTGAGCATTTTTAGATAAGTATTCGGAGGAGGGAGAAGATAAGTGAATCACTGATAGCTTGCCCTGTTATTGGAACTGTGCAGGTTGTTTAACCTGCCCTGCAATACTGGAAAATGACATTTACATCAGAGCTTTGCAATGAGGAAATTGAGGCTGTGCTTGCCTCTTGCCCAAGATCAGTGGATGTGACAAGTATAGTTCAGTTACCCAGCTCCAAAGACCATGACTTTATATCCTCACAGACCAGAGCCGACAGATCAGGAAAATCCAGGCATAGAGAATAATATGAACAAAATCAAGAAGTAAGAATCATGTGATCGAGAGAAGCATGAAAGGCTTTTGACTTGAGCAAAAGAACTTGTTCGGAAGCCACAGGAAGTAAATATTGAGGGATCCTCCATATTCAAATTAAGAAGGATTTTGACAGTCAGTGTAGGTATAGAATTGAAACTGTATGTAAATGATAATTATGAGCTAATGATGATTCTTGAGTCCAAAGTCCCACTTTTATCTCCCTGAGAATGTTACATTGTTTCATCCTAAAATAAATATATGATCCACATTGCACTTGCTAATACAATTTTTTGAAAATGTTGAGCAACGCCAGAAATACTACATCAAAACTCCAAGGACGAGACTCAGCTTGCAATATATTTGTAATGTTTTTATATATACCCTCTGTTTAAAATCACTTTCTGAGCATCGACTTCTGTAACTGGGAATGGCAAGATTCTCTAAGACACATTCATTCCCCACAACATTCGGATGTTAATGTGTCACAGTCTATGAGAAACTGCTGGTTCCATAAAGGTCAGGAACTCTGTCTGAGTGGTCAGAGCATTGTGGACAGGAGACAGGGAGGGAGTATCTGGGATTTGGGATTACTGGGAAGGAATGTTGAAAAGTGGGAGACAGGATGGGGTAGAAGGGAGATTGCTGGATTGAAAGGCAGCTAGGAGGTGTGGGGCCTTTTTGAGGCTAATTCCTGTAGTGTGTTTGCTGGGGGATGCTGAACTCTGAAACTTCAACAAGGTGACAATGCTGAATTTGGGACTTGCTTTAAGCCAAAGCCCTTGAGGGACAGTAACCACACTTTGGAGAAAAATTTTCTTGTTAAGCCTGCAGGAGTCCCACTGAAATATCAAGGATTATATATTCACAAATAAACATTAAAAACACACTACAAAGCACGCTACTATGAATCAGAAAAACAAGAAATCAGATATTTAGACACAGAAGAATTCACAGAAGCTTGAATATTCAGGTAAATAATACAGATGATCTATATAGGAAATAATAAATTCCAAAAGAGATGACTCAACATTATAAAACAATCGCTTTTGAACGTATAGCTTTAATTAAAAAATGGAACTTCTGGAAATACAAACTATAATTGTTAAAGTAAAAACTCAATGGGCAGATTAAACACATACACAGTTGATGAAAGAATTGGAATATAAACAGAAATCACATACAAAATGCAGCAAAGAGAGAAGAGGAGATGAAAAATATCAGAGAAATTAAGAAATATGGAGGTTGGAATGAGAGAGTCTAGCATATGTCTGTATTTGTTTCATATTTCCACCCTAAAAAATTACCATAAACTCAGTGGCTTAAAACAACACAAATTATCTCATAGTTCTGTAGATTAGAAATTTGACACAGGACTTCCTGGAATAAAATCAAGGGCTGTGTTCCTTACTGGAAGATTTGGGAAATAATCCATTTCCAAGCTCATATAAGTTGTTGGCTGGGTCCAGCTCCTTGGTTGTAAGGCTGAGGTTCTGTTTCTGCCAGGTTTTCTGGCTGTCAAGTGGGAACAGTCCCCAACTCCTAGTGGCCTCCCTGTGGTCTTCACGCATGTCCCCCTACATGTCAAAGACAGAAACGATGTGTCAAATTCATCTCACACTTGGAATCTCTGATTTATCCTTGCGCTGCATCTCTTCCTCCAGCCAGAGAAAGCTGTCTGCTTTTAAGGCCTCATGTGTTCAGATTGGTACCACTCAGATAATACTGGATAGTCTCCCTGTATTACGGTCAGTTGATAAGTAAACTTAATTACAACTGCAAAGATGCTTTTACCATGTAACATACCATATTCATAGTTGTAACACCAAGAGGTGAAGATCATGGAGGCCCAATTTCAGCCTATCACCTCTCAGATTGACAGAATAGAAAGAATGACAGACACACAATATTTAAAGAGACTTTTTAAGAATTATGTCCAAATTCAGAATATCAGAGTTCAAAAATATACAGATTCACAGTTTGAGGAAGATCAATTTATTAGCATGATAAATGCAAAGAAAATGGAAATTATGAGAATGTAAGAATAAAACAACAATAAATAAAAATACTGTGTCATCCATTTGAGCATAATCTGTCACCACTTCTGACCTCCACTCTAGTCAATTTATTGATTTGCTGACATCATTCTAAGTACTTAGTAATTTTAATTGCCTAGAAAAAGGTAAAAATTTTTGGCATAGTCTTTCAATGGTAGGCATCTGGACTTTAACGCCTGGTGTTTCAAAGAAATGTTGAACCTAAAAATAAAAAGAGAGGAGTTCCGGAAAAATGGCACTCTAGGCAGAAGCAGCATGCCATCCCTCCATAGCAAAGATCCAAAAAACTAAGCCAAGCAGAGAATACAACAATCCTGAAACCCTAAAACATCAAATGAAGAGATAAAGAACTCAGCCAAGCACCAAATGGAGTGAGAAAACTGACAGAGAACGGACA